TGAAGTACAGCCAGACTTTTGACCGCTTCGCCTTGGGCATTTTTAATCTGTAGCTCTGCTCTAACAGAACGTACGTACCTGGCCCCGCCTACTTTCCTCGGAAACGTAAAATGATTGGCTAGAATCTAAAGTGTATGACATCTCAGGGAAAAAAAGCACCGAAATAAAGCACCGAAATGTGCGCTGCTTTTCGGTCTGGTTACTACCGTTTATGTCAGAACCGGTGCCATCATGGCACCGGACACCGGTACCCATCCCTAGTTACAATTCGGTTATGGTTAGGTTTAGGGTCAGCATTCATTCATGGTTAGGGTTATTAAGGTCAATGAAGGTCCTCACTAAGATAGCTGAACGGGCTTGTGTGTGTGTGTGTGTGTGTGTGTGTGTGTGTGTGTGTGTGTGTGTAGGAGCAGAACTAAAACAAACAAACAAAAACAAAACAGACTTCATTCCACCTTAACGGGTTTAAGGTGGTCGTACCAGTAGGCAGGTGCTGGTCTGGGCTCCTTTACTGACCGTCTGCTTGATGAGAGACTGAAGCTGCTGCAGCTGAGCCAGCAGAGAGCTGAGGAGCAGGAACACAGGGGCTGGTTAGGGCTTACCTGAGCAGGTGAACCAATCAGCAAGCAGCAAACTCAGCAGGAAGTTCAAGAAGAAACTAAAAAGTAAATCTGACTGTTTCAGACAGACTCAGGTCCTCGTGACTGAGCTGTCCGAGGTTCACATTTAAAGTGAGAGCACAGTGCCCCCTGCTGGTGGGAGTCAGAACCACAGGGAGGTCTCCCAGATGTGGATGTTTCTGATCCTGTTTGTGACAGAAGTGTCTGGAATAACATGTCTGTGGTATTCATGTCACCAAACTGTGTGAGATTACAATAAAACCTACAGAGTGTGAGCTCGACATCGTTCCCTGTGTTTATGTCACAGGAAGTGACCTCTCTGTGACCTCAATAATCAGTAAAGCGTGTTCATACTTGTTACGTTTCTCCAGCTGCTCCACCGTCCGCTGCAGCTCTTTGTTCTGCATCGAGCACGCCGCCGCCCTGTCAGCACACACACACACACACACACACACACGCACACACACGCACACACACGCACACACACAGGTGTTACCATGGGGACCTCTGTGCAGACTTGAACAGGACATGAAGCCGTACATGTAAAGGTTATTTACATCACCGCTCACACAGACGTAACTCTGCCTGTGAGGCTGAGAGCTTTAAAAGCACGTTTAGCGCCGTCTTCGTTAATGACAGTTTAACGCCAGTAACCCGGCGACGCCGCTCGGTGTCAAGGCGTAACTTTCTGTCGCTCTGCGGTTTCATCACCAATACAACAGGTGGCGCTGAGGTTTCTCTAAGCTGAAGAAGTCGCAGGAGGAAACACAATATGGGGTGGGGTTTGTGGTCACGACGGACCTATAGCATCGATTTAACACACAGCTGTGACTCCCTCATTACTCTGAACCCACAACAAAAACACATCTGAGCCGCTCTGGCTGACACAGAGCGAGCCCCTCCTTCTCCTGCTCATAGAAGCCAATCTGCAGGTGAACGTGTGACAACGCCGCCCTCATCCAGCGTTAACCCTCGTGACGCGGACTGCGACACTGGAGACGGCTGAAGTTCAGCGGGGTCACGACCCCTGGAGGATGGAAGGAAGTTCAAATTGAAAGTGAGAGCAGATAAATGAAGGCGGGGGGGCGAACTATCGACTCGCTGAAAAAACCTCACAACACGTCTGGAAATGGGGTCTCTGTCAGCGACGCGGCGGCGGTCAGCTGGCCGGTTACCTGCTCTCCAGCCCGTCGATGTACTCCTTCCTCCGCCGCCGGCTGTCCTGAGCCGACTGCTTGTTGCGGATCTTCCTCCGGACCTTCTTCAGAATTCGCTCCTCGGCCTGTGAATAAAGTTCGGTTCAAAGTCAGCAGCGTGCACCTGACACAGAAACGCGGCGGCCTGAGAGCATCTGTGCACCCGACCTTGGTGAGGGGGAGGTTGCTGGGCAGCGACACGCCCTCCTGGGTCAGCAGCTTCTGCTCCTCCTCGGTCAGCTGAAGATCCAGGCACAGCTGCAACACAAGAAGAAGAATGAGTCGTTAGGGCGGAGCCTGACGAAGGACAAGGAAAAAAAAAAAAAAAAAAAGGAAACAGAGGCTCACCAGGTCGTCGTCGAGGCTGGGAGGAGGGACGGCAAGCCGCGGCGCCGAAACCACAGGTAGTTCGCTCACGACGCACGAGTCCGACAGCAGCAGCTGAGAGCTCCACTGATCTGCAGAGAGAGCGCACCACCGTTAACGACGCCACTCCTTCCTGTTTCTGCCGCGCTTACATCACACTGTCGATTTTTTCTTTAAATGGGTGGAGTCATAGTTTTTGGCTTCACACCAGGTCGTTTAACAGGAAGCTGAAAGCTTCAGTCTCGTGCCGTGAACGCCACCTAAAAATATTAAACAATGATTTAAAATCATCATCGTTCCAAACTAACCATGACGTCACCAGCAGGGGGCAGTGTTTCATCCATGTGCAAAACCAGCTCGCAGTTTCACATCAGAACGAGTTCGTAATTAAATTCAATTAACTTTGTTCATGTAGCGCCAAATCAATTGCTTTATATTGTAAAGACCCTCCAAACATAGAGACAAACACTCAAGCACTTTGGCGACAGTGGGAAGGAAAAACTCCCCTTTAACAGGAAGTAACCTCCAGCAGAGCCAGGCTCGGGAGGGGCGGGACCATCTGAGGGACCACTGAGCTGGGCATCATCTGCATAGCAATGAAAATGTATGCTATAGCTTCTGTTAATACTCACACGCCCCCTGGTGGAGACACCGGTACTACACTAAAGTTGGACTTCAGCTGATTCTCAGCATGAATCATCTGCTGATGCTTTAATGAAACAAACTTCTTTAAGCTCAGTCGACACGAGCATGAAGCTAGCTGCCGCCGCTGAATGTCGCCTGATTCGTCGAATCCTGAACGGCAGAAACAAAGCGTGGCCTCACCGAGCTCGATGGAGATGATGTTCTCCTGTCCAGCTCCAGTCTTAGCACCGTCCAGCCCGCTGATGTCATAAACCAGCTGGTAAACTGTCGTTGGCGCCAGCTGGGTGCCCGCTGCAGTCACCGTGGTGACAGGACTCTCGATGGCGGGGTCCTCGGAGATCCCGCTGTCGCTCTCTGATGACGGGTCAGCCGGTGGCCCGCTGGGAAACACCTCGTTTGGATTGACGGCGTGGAGGACGTCCTCGGAGTCGCTGTCATTGAGAATCTGATGAAGGTCACATTTTACACAGTCACGAACAGCAAGGCCACATCAGACATGGAAAAACTCGCCGCCACTTCAAAGTTTCAAATAAACACTTCCTCTCTGAGTGGTCATGTGATCACAGACACTCACACACTCGGGGTCCACCGCCCAGTCCTGCAGGGGTTTCTCTGAGCCGGCCGGGATGAGCTCTGAGGAGGAGAACGGACCGTCGAGCTGCCAGCTCCCGGATGCCATGACGCCGAGAAACAGCTCCCCGCTCTCTGCATCCATCACCTGCAGACATAGGTTCACACCTGGATCAGTACCAGACAGAGTGGGGGGAGGAGGAGCTAGAGGCGGACACTGTATGGGAAAGCAGAGCAGAGGTCACAGCTGAAGCTCTTCAGCTCGAGTTCCTGAATACGACACCTTCGCTGTTCTGAAAGCCTGAGAAGCTGCAGCAGTGTGCAAAAGACATCTGTGTGGGTCACATGACCTAGCAGCAGCTGACAAACAGACAAAGCAGGTGTGTGTGTGTGTGTGTGTGTGTGGAGAGCAGGTAAAGCAGCTCTGAGGAGGACATCCTGGTAGGCACACACCCAAACGCACACACCTGAGCTGAGACCTGATAGGCTGCCAAACGTGTTTCTCCGCAAACAAGCCCGACCTGTCCCACGTCTCTTAGCTTCCAAACACGACAGTGAGGAACCTGCAGACTGAGACCGCCTCCGATTTACCTGAAGTCACATGAGCTGATCAATAAAACAGCCTCATGGGTGAATCCAAGTCGTGCTTCAGAGGGAAACACTCCACCGAGCCAGCCTCAGCTGTACCTGCCACACCTATATCATCACCTGTTGTCCCAATTATGGTCTAGCAAAGGTCTTCCTGTTAGACTGTACGTAAAAGATGGACACAAGCTGCAGTCCAGCAGTGAGGTGATCCCTCAGACCCTCAGGTTAAAACTTTACAACATGTTTACAGCCCGCTACGGCAGCCTGCGAGCGCCCAAAGAAACCACAAGGACGTTTCTCCTGCAGACTGAGGGCCATTGGTTCATTGGTCGTTGGGTGGCTGCAAACAACCGATGACATCAACAATCAACGCGGGACTTCAACCAGCGGTCAGTGTCACAGCAGCCGTGTCCATCTTTGATATACAGCCTTTGCAAAGTCTCAGCTTGAGACGAACGACATCACAACAACACACCAGGTGAAACGCTCCAACCCAGAGCACGCTCGCCACAGCCAGGGTGGAGCAGAGCTCATCCAACCGGGCTCATTCACTAATGAGGTCCCCGGTTGAGGCGAGACACCCAGAATGGGATTACTTTAGATTACTCAGTCAGAGATGAAGGTAAACTCACCTTACCTCCAAAACAAATGGTCCAAGCTCCTACTGTCTACCCAGGAGAGGGTCGAACTGAGCATGTGCAGACTCCCACTGGTCACACCTGCAGTGACACTTGTGACTTCTCATAACCGCACAGCACACTCCTGTACTTTTACTGTAACAGAGTACTTCTAAACTCAGTACTTTTCTCACTCTTCCTCTTTGTGTGCCATTCAAAAACTTTCCAGCACTCTCCAGGCGCGGTCCCGGTCGGACCGGAGGAGCAGCAGAGGATACTCACAGCTGACACACGGAGCTCTGCTGTTGTCGTTTCCGGTACAAACGCTCCGGATCTTCATCAGCGGTGCTCCTCCTCCTCCTCTCTCTCTCTCTCTCACACACACAGACACACACACACAGACACACACACACAGACAGACACACACACACACACACAGACACACACACGGACCTTCGTGTCGCTTCACGGTGGAACACGGAGTCCAGCTGGCAGCTCACAACCTCCTCCGCCTCTGCGCATGCCCGACTTCTTCTTCTCTTCCTATAATCAGGCAGACTAAACAGAGCCCTCTGCTGTCTGAGGGCCACCAACAGGAATGTTAATAATATTATTATTAATGTCATTATCATAGTAATAATAATAATAATAGTAATAATAATAATAATAATACATTTTATTTGAGGGCGCCTTTCAGAAACCGAAGATCACCTACAAAAGAAAAAATGAAAAGGACAATAGTTATAAAACTATATAAAATAAGTTAGAATTGCAAAACAAAACTTGACAACAGATAAAATCAGCACTAAAGCGAATTAGCCAGTTTGAACAGTGAGTTCAAATCTGCAGCAGGTTGTTAAAGGTTAAGAGTTGATAAAAATGACTCCGGTCTGACGTGATTTACAGCGTCATGGAATATCCAATGACCGTGCATCTGGTGCAGGAGCCCACCCTGGACAAAGATGGAGGGATCGCTTCCATCTGCAGCATGCAGATTGAAGGAAAAAATGTCCATCCCGGTTTTCCCTCCAAGGCACGAGCGATAAGCAGAGTTCTGTCCTTTAAC